TTACTTGCCTGGACGGGGGGGGGCTGAGCCTGAAGCAAGCCCGGGGGGGGGGGGCGCGGAAATAACGCAAGTCGAAAGGCACTTGCACGTTAGTATTCGCTTGAAGAGGGGCGAGGGGTGGGGAGGGGGGGGGGGGCGAACGCCATGCAAGTAACCTTGCCTGAATCCAAAAAAACAGGCTCCAAGCAATCCGACCACCACCGGCAGCTTCCTCGGCAGCCGCCGCCTGGAGCGGCTGGGCTGGGTAGTTTTTTTCTAGCGGCGCATCGGAGCAAGAGGATCCTACCAACTACCATTCTGCGGTGTGGACTGAACGGCCAGACTCGAGCTCACCCGCGCGCAGGTCCGCCACTCCGCACTCGGAGGCGCCATTGTGTGTTTCCTTTCTTCTCCGCCACTCATTTCCTTGCTGTCGCTGGTCCTGCTGTTACTCCTCCTCCTCCGCCCCCACCGCCCGTCCTCCTAATTGGAGATCCCTCTCCTCGTCCTCCCCCTCCTCCCCCTCCTCCTCCTGCGCCGTCGCGTCCTCCCCCTGACCACCCTCGTCCTTCTCTCCTCCCCATTTCCCCATTTCTCCCACGTAATTTTCTCTGTGCCTCCTCCCTTATTTTTGTTTCCTCCCCCTTGTACCTCCTTTTTTTCCTCCTCCTCCTCCTCCTCTTCCCTCCTCCTCCTCCTCCTCCTCCTCCTCCTCCTCCTCCTCCTCCTCCTCCTCCTCCTCCTCCTCCTCCTCCTCCTCCTCCTCCTCCTCCTGGAGACTCGCATGAAATCGGACACGTCAGTGCCACCTGGCCTGCCAACGCGTGAAACTTACGAAGTCCCGCCCTCGATCAGGCTTCCTAAAAGCAGCAACCACTTCGCAGAAATCAAGGGGCGAACTGAAGGCCACACGCACCCGCAAAATTCTAATCCTGAGATAGGTGGCAGGCATGGCGCGTGGTCAAGGCACCGCAGCGAGTGCGCACTACCCGGTTCAGATGCCCGCTCGCCCTGCCGAAGCCGAAGAAGCGCGCACGTGAGCGACGCGGCGACTGGTCGGGCGGACGACGCGGCAGAGGAGGGGGAGTGGTCGGGCTCGGCGGCGGCGGCGGCGGGCGGGAGCGGCCGGGGGGGGAGCGCTGGGCGGACGCGCTTGGCGGCGCCGCCGCCTCGCTGCCTGCAGCCTCGCGGCCGCGAGGCGGGTGGCGTCGCGCGCCGCCGGGGGCGGCCCCCGCTCCCCCTCTATCTGCGCCCCGACCGCTCGGCGCACTTGCACTGCACGCCTGCACTTCTGTCCGACGTCCTCGAAAACTCTGGGCCGGCGGTCGGGGCCGACAACGACCGACGGGTGAGCGAACTCGAGCTCGTCGGCCCCAGGTTGGCCACCAGCTGTCTCCACCGATGGAGCTCCTGCCCACTGCTGCCTGTGGCGCCTGCGCCGTCACTGGCGCTGGATCTGCTGGCCGCCATCGCCGTGCGGAAGACAGGCCTGCGCCTCCTGTGTGCTGTCGCCTGCAACCTTCCAGCGCCGCGCTCTGGGCGCGGCGGCCTGGGGCACGTCACTCTTCGCTTGCCCCCAGGAAGAAAAAAACTCCTGCCCGGCGCGAAGTCCACCCCAAGTTGCGACACGTGCGAGACGTCTGACATCTGTGGCAACGCGCATAATCGTTCAATCTGGCTCGCAGCGTGGCAGGGCTGTCCCAGACGCGCGTCAAGTTGCAGCGACGAGATCGCACTTCTGAAGACTTGCGCACAAGCTGCGCCTGCGACAGCGAGCTCTATTCGGGCGGGATCTCCCTCGCCGAAGCGCAAGACTGGACGCCAACGCCGCCGACCACTTTGGCAGAGCCATCAGCAGGGGCCTGCGTCGGCGAACCAGCTCGAAAGCCACCTCGAGGCCCTCGAAAAGCGCCCCAGACACCGCCCCCATCCCGTGAGCCCACTCCGCCCGCGCCGACTGCGTCCGGGCGCACTTGTCCGAGACCTTGCCGCTGGCGCCCCATTCGCAGCCCATGTACTTTCTGGTTCGACAATCGCGCAGCACCTGCTTCCCTTTCCCTGGCTTGCGCGCAGTACTGGCCAGGCAACGCGAGAGCGCGATCGGCCTTGAACCTCCCGTCCGTTGGCGAGGGGGCACGCGTTGCGATTCTGTGAGTCAGCTCCGCCAGAGCCACGCAGCCCTCGAGCCCAAGGAGCTGCGCGCACCGAAGGTTCGCGACTCCGCATCCCTGGCACGCGGTGGGCTTGAAGGGCTCGATTCTACGCCGCAACTGCGGGGCTGTTCGCTCGGGGTGCGGGTCGCCCTGAGAGACAGTCGGGCCGCGCCAGCGCGGTGGGCGCCTCTGGCGCGCGCTGCCGAGCCCCCCAGGCCATGCGCAGCTACTCAAATCTGCTCTGACGTGCCCAGCGGCGCGCGACACTGGGTGGCGTCGTCCTGGGCCCACCCTGAAAGGCAAAGCGCGCTGGCGCCCTGCGGGTGAATGTGCCAATCCAGCCGAACCCCCCACCCTCGCTCCTCAGATCGGTGGCTGGCCTGAGCGAGCTTCTCAGCCTGGCCTGCAGCATCAACTTCCAACGCCTCGACTCCAGCTCGAGCGAGGCCCGGGCGCGGCGCAAACTTGGCAGAAACGACTGCCAACGGATAGTGGCGCGGGAGCGCGATGTAACGCGTTTGGTTCCGCAGGCGGCAGCGGCGATGATGGTCCGTCCAGCCCCCTTGCACGTGGACCTGCTGGCCAGAGCCTGGGCGGCACTTTTCCACCAGAGGGCCTCGGCACTGAGACTCGCCTGCATGGGCGGCGCCGGCACCGCTGATGGCATCGTCGACCTCATCCCAGGCAGGATCCTCGACCTCGCGCGCAAAACCGATTGGCACCTGAGCTGGGAACCTGCGCGGCTGCACCGCTGCTCGCACATCGGGCGCTCGCCGTGGCAAGCGCAGCCGCAATGTGACAGCCCTGTGCGGGCTTATTTCAATGTCTTCAACGGTCTCGATGGACGAGCTCAAGGCAAAGCACGGGCTTGTAACAAAATAATCTATCACATGTTCGGACGGGCGCACTGCGCCCTTGGACAGTGAGAGCACGGCGACCGGCAAAACTGGTTTGGCGTTACCTGCCAGTCTGCACTTACATGTATGTGCCTGCTGTCTTGACCTCCTGGGCTGCATCGCACAGAAGCGCCCGACGTCTCTCGCCTGAATATCCTGAGCCGTGAAGGTGCAGAGTGTCGGCGCGGATTTCACCTTTCGGCCCATAGCTGATCGCATTGTGCAAGGCCTGCCTGCTCCCAGCGAATGCTGCACACCGTGAATTCTGGAAAGGCTATACCTGCTGTCTCCCCCTGACTTCCTTGGCGCAGCCTCAACGCACGCCACCCGACCATTTTTCGCGCCTGCTGCTCATAGCTATCGCGCTGATGCTCTGGGACCTTCGTCGCCTGAGCGAGCGCGAGGTCTGACGACCCAAACGCCTGGCTAGAACGAAGCGCCTCAAGGCCGGGCTGGCTCGGGACGTTGGCTGCGATGACTGCCAGGGGCCTGCTGCCCCAACGTGTCTGGTACAACAAATTCCTGCTGCAGCGGCGGCATCTGCGAGGCTCGTGCGCGGCGCGTTTCGGTGCGTCCTTTGCGCGGCGCCCGCGTTGAACGCGCAGTTTTTGCGGCGCCGACCGTGTGGGCAGGGTGTCCCGCTGCAGGGGTCGTTCGGCCGTCCGCGCCAGGGCGCCCAAAGCCGCAAAAGAAAATGCGCTGGCACACGGGGTTACCAAGGTCAGCAGGAGCAGGAGGGCCAGCCGCCAGGGCGCCGCCGGCGAGCCCCCCGTCGTCCACGGCGGCGGGGCCGGCAGGCGCTGCGCGGCCCTCGGGGGCGGTTCCGCCCGCTGGGGCCGCTGAGGCGGCTGGCGCGGGTGCTCCGCCCGCTGCTCCTGCGGCCTACTGGCTGTGCTTGGGCCACGCGCACCATGTGCATCTTGTCGGAGGACGATGAGGAGGAGGAGGAAAAGGGAAAGGAGGAGGAGGAGGAGAAAGAGGAGGAGGAGGAGGAGGAGGAGGAGGAGGTGGAGGAGGAGGGGAGGAGGAGGAGGAGGAGGAGGAGGAGAAGGAGGAGGAGGAGGAGGAGGAGGAGGGGGAGGAGGAGGAGGAGGAGGAGGAGGAGGAGGAGGAGGAGGAGGAGGCCGTGCGCTCGGGCGCCCTGAGCACCTCGGCGTTGGCCACCAGCGCCTGCCGGCGGCAGGCCTCCGTGGGCCTTTTCCGCGCCACTGCTCGAGCTCGGCCTCGCACTGCGCCGCCCAACGCAGGGCCCACTGAAGTTGGCTTTCGCCTTGTCGCATTCCTTCTCCGCTTTGCCCCTCGGGCTGTATAGAGGTCGTGCTCTCGCTGCGGCGCCCTGGAGACCGAACTGGAGTCGCCAGACTGCAAGACACGACGTCGCACGATTTTCTTGGAGCTGGACGACGTGGGCAAGTGTTTGACGGCGTCTTAGCTTGTTAGCGGCATGGCGACGTATGTCTGCATCTGGTCCTCCGTGAGCGCCTGAGGCGGGCTGCGGGTGCTCTGACTGAGCTCCACACGCCCACTTGCTACCAGCATCCCGCACCTCGTCTTTGAGCATGGGGTCGCCCTTCGACGATTAGTAGTTACAGCACTTGTGGCGCCACTCGCAGTTCTGCTTGAACCAGCACTTCTTTGACGGGCGGCACCAGTACGCTGGCCACGTAGCCATGCTGGTGCCTGAATCGTACCGAAAGCAAGATACGCGCGCTGGGGCGGACCAGCGCGTGTTCAGCCAGGGGCTGACCTGGCGAAAGGATGTTGTCTTCCGCGGATCCGCGGTCTCCACGCGGTTCGCACAGAAACCTCAAAACCTTTGTAGCCAAAGCGGTTACCGCACCTCCTCCTCCTCCTCCTCCTCTTCCTCCTCCTCTTGCGTCTCCTCCCACCTCCTCATCGTCCTCGTCGTCGTTTCCTCCTCTTCTCACTCCTCGACCCTTTCGTCCTCGTGGATCCTCCTTCCCGCCCCTGGCGCCCTTACTCGAGGACCCTGGTGCCCTCTGGACCACACGAGGGGTGCCCTGAGGACCCACGGGGCCTCCCTGGGGCAGTCGGGGCCGCCCCGGGCCAGAGGCCAGCTCTGGCAGCACCAGACCGCCGCCAAGGGCCACGGAGAGCGCAGTCTACAGTGGCAGCGCGTCGCCCTGTCTCGCGGGACGGACGGGAGCAGGGGAACAAACAATGACATAAACATAAAAACTCTGAGGTCCGCGCGGGTTTCTCGGATCCGCGCTGGACCCCCCTCCCTGGCGCGCGGAGCGCGCCAGGGGCGGCGCCGGAGGCGCCCCAGCGCCGATCCGAGAAATCCGCGCGGACCTCCGAGTGTTTACATATGTTTAAATGTCACTTTTTGTTCCCCTAGGGAGGCCGGGCAGAGCTCGGGACGCTGACGCCTGGGGACCGGGACGTGCCGAGCGGGTCGCGCAGAGGCGTGGTGGGCGCAAGGACTGGCGGCTCGGCACGCGGAAGAGGCGGTCCTGACCGTCTGTCCTGCTCTGCTGCCTGTCCGGCCGTCCTGGCCCCCGACCGACGATCACCAACCCACGGCGCGAAACCGACCTGCGCGCGCGAAATCGACGTCTGCGGCTTCCGGGGCGACGGGATCGACGTCGGCGCGCGGAATTCGACCTCGACACCAGGCGGAGTCAGGTCCCTTCAGGGCTGAGGACAGCACAACCCAGCCCCAGCCCTAGCCAGGAGGATCTTGCCTTGGGGTGGAGTGGGTTGTGGCAGGCCCACTCTCTATCTTTTTTGTTGCGGGGGTGGCTCTCCGGCAACGACGCATCCCCAACTCTTGGCGGGTGGCGCTTCCAATTTGGTTGGGGCCATTCCCACTTGCGCCACCGCCCGACCAGCACCAGACAACCTTGGGGCTCCCTGGGGCCAGATTAGCCTGGCGAAGGACCCAACCATATGCAGTTGTGAACACCGTCGTTGTATGCACCGCATTCGGTGGGGCTTCCTATGGAGCCACGAAGCGTGTGAGGGTTGTGCCAAAATGGGTGCGATGGCCGCATGCGAACACTAGCGTTTGGGCCTTCGGAGGGGCTCCCTGTGGGGCCACGAAACTTTTGAGGATTGTGCCAAAATGGGTGCGGTGGCCGCATGCGAACGCTGGCATGTGGGCCTTCGGTAGGGCTCCCTATGGAGCGACGAAAAGTGTGAACGGTGTACCAAAATGGGTGCGGTGGCCGCATGCGAACGCTGGCATTTGGGCCTTCGGCGGGGCTCCCTATGGAGCGAGCCACGACACGTGTGAGCGGTGTGCCAAAATGTGTGCAGTGGCCGCATGCGAACGCTGGCATTTGGGCTTTCGGTGGGGCTCCCTATGGAGCGAGCCCCGACACGTGTGAGGGGTGTGCCAAACTGAGCGCGGTGGCCGCATGCGAACGCTGGCATTTGGGCCTTCGGTGGGGCTCCCTATGGAGCGACGAAACGTGTGAGCTGTGTGCCAAAATGGGTGCGGTGGCCGCATGCGAACGCAGCTACTTGGGCCTTCGGTGGGGCTCCCTATGGAGCACGAAACGTGTGAGCGGTGTGCCAAAATGGGTGATATGGCCGCATGCGAACGCAGCCACTTGGGCCTTCGGTGGGGCCCCCCTTATGGGGCCACGAAGCGTGTGAGGGGCGTGCCGAAATTGGCGCGATGGTGCCATGCGAACGAAGCCACCTGGACCTTCGGTGGAGCTCCCTATAGAGCCACGAACCGTGTGAGGGCTGTGCCGACATGGGTGATGTGGTGCCATGCGAACAAAGTCAGTTGGGCCTTCGGTGGAGCTCCCTATGGGGTCACGAATCGTGTGAGGGCTGTGCCGAAATGGGTGATGTGGTGCCTTGCGAACGCAGCCACTTTTGAACCGTTCCGTGGAGCTCCCTATAGAGCCACGAACCGTGTGAGGGCTGTGCCGAAATTGGTGATGTGGTGCCATGCGGAAGCAGCCACTATTGGGCCTTCGGTGGAGCTCCCTATGGGGCCACGGACCGTGTGAGGGCTGTGCCGAAATTGGTGATGTGGTGCCATGCGAACGCAGCCACTATTGGGCCTTCGGTGGAGCTCCCTATGGTGCCACGAAGCGTGTGAGGGGTGAGGGTGTGCCGACATGGGTGCGGTGGTGCCATGCGAACGCAGCCACTTGGGCCTTCGGAGGAGCACCCTATAGAGCCACGAACCGTGTGAGAGCTGTGCCGAAATGGGTGATGTGGTGCCTTGCGAACGCAGCCACTTTTGAGCCTTCGGTGGAGCTCCCTATGAGGCCACGAAACGTGTGAGGGGTGAGGTGCCGACATGGGCGCGGTGGTGCCATGCGAACGCAGCTACTATTGGGCCTTCGGTGGAGCTCCCTATGGGCCACTAACCGTGTGAGGGCTGTGCCGAAATGTGCACGCGGAGGTCAGAGGCACGCAGGGGGAGGAGGAATGAGGAAGGAGGAGAGGAGACGCGAGGCGCTCTCCCTTCAAAACGAGGACCCAACACCACCCCCTGCCAGGACCCCCTGGATCACCAGAGCGGGAGCGGGGGTCCTGGCTAGGGATGGGTTGCGCTGCCCTCCAGGGCCGCAGATCTGGCCGGCATCGGCGCGACCTGTGGAGATCGGCAAACGTTTTCGGCCAGCAACCACATTGTCTGACAGCCCGAGCGGCAGGGAGGGACAGCTTCGAGCGGCCTGGAAGTCAGCACCAGACCGGCCGCCGGATGAGCGGCGAAGCGAAAATGGGCATGATGCACGAGGACACGACGCCCTCACGCGGTAGCCCACTTTTCACGAGTTGCTCAAGCAGCGTGGGGGGGGGGGGCGGATCGCGCGAGGGGGTGGAGTGGGCCTGTCCGGCGGTGGGCGTGGGAGGGTTGGATCGCGTGAGGCGGTGCGCTCGGCGCGCGTGGCGGTGCTGGAACGGACCGTCGGGCGGAACGACATTGGGGAGGGAGCTCATTGAATAATCTCGGGTTGCTTAAGGTCATCCCGCTACCAGGAGGAAGTCCGAACAGGGACCTGAAGAGGCTGCTCTGGCCACCGGGAGCACCGCCCACGGACGGGCTCCCCGGTCGAAATCTGGGGAGCGGTCCGAAAAACATGGCCCCCTGCCCGTGTGAGTCCTCCTCCTCCTCCTCCTCCTCCTCCTCCTCCTCCCCCTCCTCCTCCTCCCCCTCCTCCCCCTCCCTCCTCCCCTCTCCTCCTCCTCCTCCTCCTCTCCTCTCCCTCCTCCTCCCTCCTCCTCCCCCCCCCTCCCCCCCCTCCCTCCTCTCCTCCTCCTCCTCCTCCCCTCCTCCTCCTCCTCCTCCTCCTCCTCCTCCTCCTCCTCCTCCTCCTCCTCCTCCTCCTCCTCTTCCTCCTCCTCCTCCTTTGCAGCACCTTGACTACTAGGGACCGGGTCGATCAAAACACGCACCCGCACGATGACCCCCCGCACCAACGAGCGTCTTTGGCAACCGCGCCCAAATACACTGCGCACCACGGGGAGGGACGGGCGCTCGCGCCCGAACGTCCGCGCTTTTGACCACACTCGTACTGCAATCGCCACACACCAGAATGATGTAATGTATAATCAGAACCCAGACATGCGACGTCCTGATTTTTTCAGGACGGCGTCTCTGGAAGTCCCGACCCTTTCCCCGGGACCGGTTTTTCGTCCTGAGTCGTTTTTTGACGGTCCCGAGGCCCGGCGAGGGCCCCCAAGGGCCGAAAATTCTGAACAACTTGCCGTCCAGATTATTTTTACGACGCGATCATGTCTGGGAATGCTACCCGAAAGAACTCCAAATACGGAATGAAAGGGCCTCTCTGACCATGGCGAGTCCCGGCCGCGAGTGGGCCCCCCGACTCAGATCTAAGGAACAGCCCGCAAACCACAGGGGCGGGCAGCTCGGAAGCCCCCCGGCCTTCCGACAAGTTCTGTAGGCCTTCCCGAAGACACAGCAATCATCTCAGAAGGCCAGAGGGCTTCTGAGAAGCCCCAGCGGCTTCCCCCCCTTGCTCGCCGTCGAGCAGCAGATATCTTCCACCGAGTAACAGAAATCTTCCGTCGAGGGTGTCTGGGGAGGTGGGCATGACTCGGCCAACTGTGGCTTGGCAGCGGGGTTGGAGGAGCACGCGGATGAGTACGGTCGGACCTACGACAGAAAAAATATCCTTCAACAACATCAGGCCATCCGCCGGCCAAAGAACCCCAAACCAGAAGATCACCGAGGGTACCCTTCTCGAGAACATCCAACAAACACGAATGACATTAGGGTACTCTTCCCGACTTGACCTCGGTCTTATACCTCGGTCCGACCGTACGTGTACGAAGAGGGGTGCCTCCCAGACTCCCCGACGCCCCACCCGACGACCTGCCCCACGCCCAGCCCGACTTCCCACCCGGCACCCAGCCCTACAGTCAGCGTGCTACCAGAAGGAACGCTGAAGAAGGGACATGGCTCCCTGTTGTTGTTTTTGTTGTCGGCATCAAAACGGCTACAACAAAAACAGCGTTTCTGTCGGCTGTTGTTTTTCTTGTCGGCTGTCTTCCTGTTGTTGTAGACGTTTCCTTCTTGTTGTTGTTTTTGGTTGTTGCCGGCAACAACAGCAACAGTGTCGTGCTACAAAGCAACAGACGTTTCAGACCATGGCGAGCCTCGGCCACGAATGGGCTCCACGACCTCGATCCGAGGGACGGCCCAGACAACAGAGCCCCTCCTGAGAACACCGTGGCCCTCATCTCGGTGCCTCGACTGTACGCTGCGCTGCGCCCACGCCCAGCGTCACGGACAGCTCGCCGACCAGCCTGCTTGCGCCCAGCACGTCGCCCCATCCGGCGCGGGAGGCGGCAACAGCTCCACGACGCGACGAGGCCGCGCCTGTGAGCGGCCGGTCGAGGCCATCCGCGCGGGCCCTCTGCTCGTGTTCAGCCCTGGGCCTGAGAGCCAGGCGACGACGACCCCGAGATCCAGGCAATACCACCTTTCTCGCAGCGGGCGTGGTCGCCCGCTTTCGGGCCCCGGTGCCATCTCACAGAGCGGCCCGGCGCGAGGGGTGCGGCAGAGAGGGTGGGGCCCAAGGCTCCGCTCGTGATTCTGCATGGTGCTGCATCTTTTCTTTTCTTTTTGCTTATTTTTCCCCCCGTGACGTCGGAGCTCGGGGCAGGTGGCCTGGCAGGAGGGCGACAGGTACACGCCTGCGCCCGTCCTGACCGGGCCCCTCCTGGGCCCAGGGTCGGTGCGCGTGCGCGCCCTCCTGGCTTGGCTCACGTCGGGCCTGTCCCCCTACAGGGGGATTTTGGACGAAAAATAACAAAAAATACAAACGTGCGCCACGCATGCCCCCAAAACAATCAAAACATAGTCCCCAGACTATTTTTGGGGGCTATTTCTGGATCTCCCCCCTGTAGAGGGGCAGGCCCGACTTGAGGCCTGGCCTGGAACGCATGCGCCCGGACCTGGCCCCCGGGAGCGGCCGGCCCAGGAGGTGCAGGGCTGGCGCCCTCTCTCCGACCCTGGGCGCGGTGTGGAAGAGGGGAGGGGGGCAGGGACAGGAGAAACGAAGGGAGATAAGCGAAGGGAGAGAGGGAGAGAGGGAGAGAGGAGGGAAGGGGGGAGGATCAACGAAGGGAGAGGGAGAGAGGATAAACGAAGGGAGGAGGATAAACGAAGGGAGAAGTGAGTATGCAGCCATGGTGCAGACAGGTGAGGGCGCAAGCCGACTTCTGGGGCTCCCAAGTCCCCAACCGAACGCGGCGGGAACAGGTGGCGCCGAATCAGCTGGTGCTCTGATCCTGGGGGGGGGCCCAGGTCTACGGAGACAGGAGGACGAAGGAGATTCCAGGAGGAGAAGAGGCAAAGTCGAGTCGAGTCGGAGCGTCAGCAGTCTCGGTGCGCTCAGCAAGCTATAGGAGCCGGGCTTCCCTCTGGGCGGCCGCCAGCTGCTGGCGTCGTGTCGCTCGGGAGCCCGAGGAATGCACGATGGACCCAGAGGCCATAAGAACCTACCGGGCGGGGAAGAGGAGAAGGAGGAGGAGGAGGAAGAGGAGTACGAAAAGGAGGAGGAGGAGGAGGAGGAGGAGGAGGAGGAGGGGGAGGAGGAAGAGGAGGAGGAGGGGGAGGAGGAGGAGGAAGAGGAGTACGAGAAGGAGGAGGGGGGACAGAGTGAGGGAGGAGCAGGCATGAGCGAGGCAGCGCGAGGAAAAAGCGTGCGGGCCGCTAGTCGGCTGCGCATTCAGAGGCGAAGCCCCTCACTATTGATATAACGATTCAGTGCGCCAGTCGCTCCAAGCGCGGATATCGAACCACGCGAGCGCACGACGGATAAACACTTGCGCTGGGAGTCGAAAGAGGATACGCACGATGATGGTATTGATGATGAGGACACAAGTTTTGATGATGAGAGGGATGATAAGGATGAGGACGCGCTGGGGCTGAAGGAGGTGAGGAAGATCATGAAAATGAGAAGGTCGAGGAGGAGACCGAAAAAAGATGAGGAGCATAAAGGGAGCGTGGTGTTTCCGCGTTTTGAAACGTCGCAAACCGCCTTACTCCAACTTTCGCCACAATCATCCGCACAATGTGTATTCCGTTTCTGCCCTCCGCATGCCCCTTCGCCCGCCCGCGCCGCTTTCTTTCAATGTCCACCGCGTTTCCGATCCTGCCCCTTCTGGAGCTGCCGCTTTGAAACGTGCCCCCTCCCTCTCGTTCAGCATCCAAGGAATACCTTGCGTCTTCTGCCATGGCCAACTTCGGCAACTGGGGGAACGAACTGCCCTGGCCGCCTTGATCGCAAACAATCAGCTGGCGGGGGGGTGGCGCGGAGCGCGGACTACGGATCGGCCCAGGGCCGAAGACCGCAGGCTCCTGGGGAAGAGGAGGAGGAGGAGAAGGAGGAGGAGGAGGAGGAGGAGGACCAGGAGGACCAGGAGGAGGAAGAAGGGCAAGCACAGGAGGGGAGGATGAGCAGGAGCAGGAGAGGGAGGAAAGGAGGAGGAGGAGAAGGAGGATCGTTGGTTCAGAGATGGGGTCCTGAGGGATGGGGTCCCAAGGACGAGGTGCCTCGAACAATGTAAGTCTACCCTTGGATCCCTTCCTATACCCAGGACCCCATCCCTCAGGACCCCATATTTGAACCACCGAGACGAGGAGGAGGCACCACCAAATCGATCCGAGTGCGCAGAACCATGGAAAAGAAAGAGAGAGAGAGAGCACGAGCGGGAAAAGGACGAGCACGCACAACTCGACGATTCAACGAAGTGACCCGAACAAAAACACCGAGCTACCTGAGACGACGCCAACAACAGGCATCGTCCGAAGAGAGCAGCGGTCGGGAAGAGCCCTTCCACTCGCCCGAGGTGAAGTCATTACCCACCTCGGGTGGCTCCAAACACGACGAGTCTGTGCTGGATGCAGAGCCCTCGCGGAGACCCCAGCGGCGGGAACGGGGGGCCGGCAGCCGGGCCCCGGCACCGCAACGGCGGCATCACGCAAGGGCACCAGCAGGACGGATGCGATGCCCACGAGCGCTCTTCGGGCCAGCAGGGCCCTGAGCGGGGAGGGGAACGTCTGGGAGGACAACATCCTTTGCGGACCAGGACCCCCTGCGCCGCGGACCTCTAGAGGCCAGGGCCGGCAGGGGCAGGAGGCGCCCTGGACTCAACGGCGGGGGGAAGGGCCAGTAGCCGAGGCGCCTTCGGGCGCGGCTCTCCAGAGGACCAGTCGTCCTCGATAACGTCACCACCAGGCCTTGCACGCGCGGGGGGGGGGGGGGTTGGGGGCGGGATGGGCTGGGGCTCATCGGAGCCCAGGGCGCGCGCGGCCAAGGCCAACCTGCGCGCCTCCTCTAAGTCCGATTCCCTCTGCTCCTCCTCCGGACTGGACCTCACCCGCTTAAAAGCTAGAGACCGCTCAAGGCCCTCGGTCGCCGAGGGCGGCGGCTCCTCTAGCTTCTCAGGGCCCACGTGGGGCTCAGCAGACCCACTGCCTCAGAGGGGCCCCCGCCACCCCCGAGAGGCCGCATAGGGCCGCCGCCTCGGCAACCCTACAGACATCCCACCTGAACCTAGAAGCTCCTATGGCGGAAACCGCGAAAGCGACGCACCGATCACATGACTATCCACGGCGCCGCACAAAGTGCGGGACGCCAAGAGAAGAAGGAGGAGGAGGAGGATGAGGATAAGGAAGAGGACCAATGTAAACCCAAGACTCACCCACAAGGTTATAATAATGAAACACACCCTCCAAATTCCCTCCCCGTAGGCCCTACGTGGATTCATGTCAACTGAAGGAAGTGCCCCGTTGGGAGACAACCCTTTGCGATCCTGAAACGTGCCAAAACACCACTCTCGGAATGTCGACGCCACGCGTCAACCTGACAATTGCCTCTTGACGACCTTGAGTCGTGCCAGAGGACCATTCCTGGGACATGAACGCTGCGAATCAACAGAACTGTTGCGCCCTGACAGTCCTCAATCATTCCAAAGCTCAATTTCTAATACGTTCACCATGGGAATCAATGACACTCTGGCAAATGTTGAAAAGAAGTGCGCGCCGCGCTAATGCGAGAATCAACTTGTGCAAAATGATTGCCCTCAATCCGCGAAACTATTGCAAGTCTCTGAAACGAATGTGCGCGGCGCCCGAGCGAGAATCACATTTTGAACACGACGCGACCTCAGCCCGTGAAACTCTTACAATCAATTACAACATTAATGTGCGCGGTGCTATGGCGAGATCCACATTTTGAGAACGATCCGCCCTCAATACATGAAACACTTGCATGTCTTAAACTGGTGTACGCCACGCGAAAACGATAGCCACATTGAAGAAAACGGCCCGCCCTCAATCCGTGAAGCCCCTGCAATGTTTTGAACGAATGTGCGCAGCGAGAGACACATTTTGAAAACCACACGCCCTCCATCCGTGAAGCTGATGCCACCTTGTAAGCTTCAGGATCACGCCCGGCCCGCCCTTTCGACCAGCCTCGGGGTGCGACAGGGAGGAGTATTTGTAACGAAACTGAACGGAGGAGAAGAAGGGGGAGGATGAGGAGGGGAAGGAGGATGAGGAGGAGGAGGAGGAGAAGGAGGAAATGAGGAGTAGGAAATGGAGGACAGGAGGAGGAGAAGGAGGAGGAGGTGGGACTGGCCACGAGAGGCCGGCGACGAGGGCGGGTGGGTGGCGGGCTGGCGTGGACAGGAGCGCGCGGCGCCGCACCGCACTTACGGCGGCAGCAGCGGCTCGCCCAGCGGCCCGCCCGCCCCCCAGCGCCGGGCCACGGCCGGCGACCTCGCGCCGGGCAGCGGCCGGACCAGGGTCCAGGCCGTACCTCGGCTCGGGCGGGTGATGCGCCCAGACCTCCTCCAGCTCGATCCCCACTGCCTCCTCCACACGCCGCCCAGGATGCCCACGCCTGCCCCTCCTTCCTTGACGAGGGGGGTCGAGGGAGGAGGCGCGGGAGGTGGACAGGGAAGGCGGAAGAGGAGGAGGAGCGAGGAGGAAGAACAGAAATAGGGGGCGCCCAAACTGGCGAACGAGGAAAATGACCCCGAAGGAGCCCTTCGGGCCCCTTTTGGAGTCACTGGGGGCCCAGAAGGCAAAAGGAACCCTCAAGAGCCCCTTCAGGGCCCGTTTCTTCACCTCCCACGTGGGCCACCCCCACTTACCGCTTTACCACCCACCCGATCGGCTGCGGCAAGCGGCGATTCCCGGCCGACGGCGAGGACAGCAGCGACCACGACGCCGACGACGGCGCGGAGGATGGCCGGCGACGAGGACGGCCGACGGCGCGAGGACGACGGGGAGGGCGAGGACGACCGCGGCGACGGCCGACGACAGGATGACGACGACGACGACGACGACGACGACGACGACGACGACGACGACGACCTCGACAGCGAAGACACCGACGACCACGACCCTGAGATCTTGGCGATGCAGTTTATCGCGCCGGATTTTGTCGCCCGCAAGGCCATCACAGACCGATCCAGCTCGAAGGATTCCGTATACATCTGTTTTCTAGGGTTCCGATCGTGAGCTAACAAAATGTTGTAGGTTTCGTGACGTTGGAATTCAGAAGACGACGAGGACAACGATGAACGACGACAACAGGCCGACGGCGGCCAGCGACGGCGACAACGACGATGGCGGCGACGACCACGGCGAGAGTACTTCTGATGGGGGAAATGGGGGAAGGGGAAGAGGAAGGACTGACAAGGGTCATGCTGTAAGATCATGACTCCGCACTCTCGCGAGTGTGCGACTGCCTGAGGTTAGACCGGAAGGATGACTTCGCGCGAAGACTCGGACGCTTAAAGACGCGCAGCTGCAAGCGGCGTCGACACGAGCAAAACCCACCGTCGACAATGTGCGCAAGCCTGAAAAGGTCCGAAGCACGACGGGCCGCGAACGCCGTGTACTCATACATGTTGCACGAGTGCACGCAAGGCTTACCACTGAGTCACTGTGCGCGTCCACCATTCGATCTAGGCTGGCTCTTCTGAAGAAATATGCGGAAAGCTTCCTGAAAACGAACTGACATCTGTGTACCCTGAGACGCGCTGGGGGAAAGGGGAAAGGGAGGGGTGGGTGGGCGGCCTCGCAGGGGGAAGGCTGTCTCTCGGCAGGCGGCGCGAGCCTGGAAGGTCTCGCGCTGGGCTCAATCGCGCAGTGGACCCCGCCCCTCGCGATCACCTGGCGGAACGGCTGCGCCGAGTTTGATTGCTGTCTCGCGCTGGGGCCAGAAGGGGCGAGGATCTGCTGATGCATGTCGTCGCTGTCGGTGCCGGCGGCTGCGTTGCACTCGAACCCGTTGACATTGCTGCCGTGCGTCTTGTAGCACCGAGCGCAGCGAACTTCCTGGATATGCACCTTGATGTCGATGCTGTCAGCCTGCTTCTCCTGAGTGTTTGCGCTCGGGCTCGCCGATTGAAAGGGGGTCCACGTCCTGCTCCTGCAACTGCTCAAGTGTCACTTGGATCCATGAATTCCATTCGCGCATATGTGTCCGAACCAGATTTGCAAGTTTCGGCTGCTCCTGCTCCATCGAATGCTGCTCCGCTGACTGCGGGTAGCTCCTGGTGGGGAAGCTTCCCCTGGACGAAATGCTCGTAGCTGTCTTTCACTTAAACAACTGCCCAACTCAATTGTCCTCATGATCCTTGGCGACATGGCAGCGCGGAGGGTCTGCGCGGTCGTGCTGCAAATCATCTCCCCATGCGAAGCGCCGTTGCTGGCTTGCCGCCTTCCCGGCCCGCGGCGTGCCCGATGTTCACCTGTCGCACTTGCGAGGTCCACTGAGAACGGGTAGTGAGGTGCGCGAAGTTCCAGCCAGCGCGATTGTTGTGAACACATGCGCCATCCAATTCACAAGCGCAGCCATGCTAGTGGCGCGCGGCGCACGCGCGCGGCGTTTCCCGCGCGATGGGCGGGGGCGAGAGTTAACTCTGATTCATGTCACCTTCCATCGCGCAAATTACGTCGCGCGCGATCTGGTGCAATCTCTCCAGCAGAAAATAGAACGCCGTGAGCTTTTGCTCACGTGACACTGGTTTCTAAACTGATGAGGCCGCGCAGCGAACATCTCGTGTTGCGCGCGCAAATCCACAATCGTGCTCGCCTGAAGGTAGCGGGCCCGGCGACGGCGCAAGTTCGAGCGCATCTGGATCGGATCGGGGCGGGGGGTGGGGGCGCGCGCGGAGAGATGCTGCGATCGCGATTCTGCAACGTCAGCGCAGGAAAAATCATCCTTCAGCGCTGGCGCAGCAGGCAAGTGCCGGGGCGCTGCGCGTGCGACACGCTACGCGCTCTCTAGCGATGAGATCGCCCCGGTATTTGGCACCAACTGACGCGGCCAAAGATTGTCCGTCACGGAATCTTGAGTCGCGAGGCGTGCATCCGAGCATGACAGCAGGGAATGGCGGCATGTCTTCTGGAAGCACTTAAGACGCGGAGGTCGTAGTTCCGTGGGCGCGTCAGCTAGTCCAATGCACTCCTGTACCATAAAATGGGGATTCTACTCGTTGCGTCAGCAATCTTCGCGCGTCGCGTCGTCGCGTGCCCTTTCGTCAGCTCGCGCGCGCGACGACTGGCGCGCCCGTCGAAAATGGCGCAGGCGCGCGTTGAGGGCGAAGGTCGTTAAACAAGACAGTCGCCAAGACCATGTCGCGAACTCGGCGCCTCAACTTCGCCCTTGTAACACCAGGCCTGCTTGTAGATGAGAAGAGCTTCGGTGCCGGCTCGAACTTGCGACCTACGCTCAATCGAAAAACAGTTCTTATAATGCAGATAGGCCCCGAGGCGTCGCGCCGCGCTCGGCGAGGTTGCGCGCTTGTGCTGCGCGCGCAGGTGCGCGCGCGAGCGCGCGCCGACATGGCGCGCCGCGAACTCGCTCGTTACCTGTGCCTGGTGCAGTCGTGTGCCTGTTGAACGTGTTGCCACGTCGTGCATCGTGATCCTGCTGTCTCGTAGATGCTGCGCGGCGTGATGATGGTGCACTGGTTGCATGAGTCCCTTATAAATGATGCCATGGACGCGTCGACGGTGGCGGAGTTGAGGGGGGAAGAGGCCATGAGATTAGGAGATTGGGTCTCCAAGCTGCGGAGTCGCGTCACTTGCCAACGCGGCGTGCGAAATCGATGGGGGGCGAAACCGCGACCGCGCAACGCGCCGCGCCGCGGGCGCGTCAGACGCTTGTTGAACACAACTGGCCAGCCGATGATGCTGCCGTCGCAATCGTCCGTTCTGAACTACAACGGCAGGCGGCGCTGCCTCCTCCTTCTCTGGGCGCGCGACATCTTCTCTGGCAGCGTGCGATCCTGAGCGGCGCCGTCCATGGTGGCATCTGAGAGCGGCGCGAAGGCATTGACCGCGTCATAGTGTTCGACTAGCGATGGCTAGACAAACGCATACCAATGTTTGTACGCCGGTGGGGAATCAACATCAGTGACAAGGTAGTTTCTTCGCGTCTTCGACCTGGCGCCGCAACCGCGCTGGGGGCTGGTTGGCGATGGGGCTTTCCTGGTCGTCGTAGACCACCACCCCTGTGACATGCATTGAAAAACGCAATGTGCCATGAACTATGCAAACGTCGTTTTTTCGGGTGTCGGGGGGGAATCTGAGAGCCCTGGCTGCGACGGGCATGATAATATATGCTGCGGCCCGTGGCCCACGCTACCCCAAGAATGCATCGAAAACGAGAAATGCATTCACGCGGCGCCAGAATATCGAAACAAAAACAACGCCTCGCTGCTCACCTTTGGGAACTGCTTGAGACCATGCAATCGCGTTCCATCGCCAAATCGGCACACCCCGTGGCGGAGAACACCGGCGATTGGCACTCTTTCGAGTCCACAGGTTTGTTTGTTTAGGGTCGTACTCGCCAGTGCTATGGCATCAGCAACCCACATGAACTTGAACGTCGTGGTCGCCAAAGAACTCTTGAGGGACTTGAGCGAGACCACGTCGAATGCCACTCCGTCCTCCTTGAGATCCAAGTTGAGGCATTTGCTGCAAACCATTGTTTCAAGCCGTCGGCGTAGGGCAGCATTGCGGCAGTTGCGTAGTCGGCGTACAATTCGCTGGCCAGACGACGATCGAGCTGCCGTGCTTTAGCGGGGCGTCGAGGTCGCCATCCTCCTGGCAGTTCCAGCAGGAGCTGTTCGTTGGGAGATCTTGTTTGGGCTGCATGTGATTGCCGAGTGCGTCGGCTAACTCAAGGCATCTGCCAGTTACTCTGCAACGGCTGCGAAACCGTACCAAGACAATTTGGTCACCCATGTCTGTGTGGCATGAATTCTGGTCATAGCTCACGTCGGCGATGCCATCGGTCACGGCGCTCTATAGATACTGCTGCAGGGGCCTCGTTTTGTTTGCGTAACTGTGTGCAGCAGTCGGTACAAGTTCCGGGTCAACTCAATACCTCCACGGCTCTAAAACGCCCCTTTTTGGTTTCTCGTCCAGCCCAGTCTCGCGCGATTGAACCCATGGTGTGTGCGTTCGGACAAATACCCCCGAAAAAAAACACTGGATGCAACCAATGCATCGCTACACCTTGAAACGTGATGAAAATCGTTGCCACCATACGTGCGATCGTGCTGCAAGAGGACATGCGCTGGGTAATGGTCATTGCGTCTAGCGCCTATTACGAGTTGTAGTCGGCCGCTGGGATGTCGTTTCGTCTGGCTCTAGAGTATGTGTTACATAACGTAGACTGCCAGGCACCACAATGAAGTCGAGGTAGCTGGTGAAACCTGGTGTGCCATGATACCACGTAGGGGAAGTAGGGTAGAACGTGTCCAGGCAATCGGGCCATCCATGAGCAAGGC